ATGGACACATGCGTCATTATTATAATGACAATACTTTGTTTCTAAATACATATTAAAGGAATTGTCTTGATCAATATCCAATTACAACATCAAACCAAACACAAATAAGTATACTGAAATATTATCAGACTAATTCACAGGCAATGTTCTGCAACTTGTGGTGTCAGATTGTTTTGCAAATTCGGCATAGGTAGATTTGAGGATAAATAACAGTACTGTGCTGGTATTTCCTGATTACACTGAAGTAAATGATGGTAAGAGTAGGGTTGGCTTTACATCACATTTTCATTCTCAGAGTTGTGGATAGTGTTTTGATCTCAATGTGATGGAAACATCCACCTTTTAGCTCTCCCCATAGTGCTCATCCTCATTCGGGTCGCACATAAGGTGGAGGCTCTCCAAAATACATCCTGGACTGGTCGCCACTCAATCGCAGGCCACATACAGATAATCAACTGTTCACACTGACATTCACCCCTAAGGTCAATTTGGACTCTTAAAGAACCTAAAATGCATGTTTTCAGAATGTGGTAGCATGCCAGAGTGGGCAGGGTACCCATCGAGAACCCACACAAGGTTAATGAAAACATGAAAAATCCACACAGGATGAAACCAGAGCTGCGACACAAAACCAAAACTTCAGAAATGTGATGTAGACATGCTAAGCACTAGTACCGTATGCTGCCTGTATTAAGAAAAAAATACTTATAAAATAATATTGTTTAGAACACACCTGTCTCCTTCATGAGCGAAATACTTTCTTCTTTGCGTTCATCATACACTCTTGTTCCTGCCACCTCTCTAAGCAGCTTCAGACGCTGAGAGTCAGGTGCTGTGGCCATTTGGTTGATCTGCATCAAACATTAAAATAATTACCCTTTTCTCGAAAATTACAACATGTATCGCACAATAGGGGCGTATCAACGTGACTTCATTTATGATAGTGGAAAACCATTTATGATGTGTTGAGCAAGTTGGAGATCAAACCATCACTTCCTTCTCACCTTGCCCTGCTTGACAATATAGTAAGGGTTACTGCGGGAGAAGCCAGCACTTTCCAGAAGGTTCATGACGTCATTCTTGCTGCACCAATCACAAACACCACCAAACGTGATCACATCAATTCAGCGAGGCCAATATTTCCTGTGATTACTGGGACACAAACACTTACGTCACCATCTTCTTGTCCAAGAAATACTGGTCCTTCTTTGCACCGATGACACGACGAAGGGAGACTTCCTCTTTGTCAATCTGGAGGGAGACAAAATCCCAATTAGCTGCTCTCATGTCACCGAACTTCCATTCATTGGCAACAGCAATTTCAGACCAAAATGATTTTATAATGTAGCGCTTTCGTGGCCTAAATAATACACACCAGGCAGAAAGACAAAAAGCTATTTAAAAAAGTTGTTGGTATGTTCAGGGTTCACGCTGACTGAATTTTTGGGACCATTGGGCACATTGGATTATTAGGTGCAATAGCAATCAGCGGGTATTTTTATACATATATTAAGGCACACCAGATTATAAAGTGCATTATATTTGTGAAGTATTGTTTGTCGAATAACTTTATTCTACTTGTACCATATGTTTATTTGATAGATTTAGCACTATTATGCTCGGTTCAGACTGGGTCTCGCATGTTTTTGTTCTCTGTGCACATGTGTTTCTTCGGGCGGACAAGAGGAGGGGCTCCTCCGACTGTCACCCAAAAAAGTTTGAACATTGCCAACAATCAACCTTGTGACCGGTGGTCATGTGATTCCTTAGGCTGCATGGTGCTATCTCGGTTGACAGTTCAGCAGCTGTAAACAAGTCAATACACTTAAAAGATACACCAACTTCCTCGCTCTCCACTATACAAGGCTGATCTTTTTTTGCTCGATCCGGGGAGCTATTGAAAGCAGGCTGTGTCATTTACCTCTCGGTTTCACAGACCACAATGATATTGTGCCATATTGTAACACTGGAAACCCGTTGCCAGAAACACCGAGCTCACGTTCTGTCTGATAGTAAGCATCAGACTGGTAGGACTACATTTCCCACGATTTGGAGATACAGAAGCAGGAATTAATTGTGGTTTCGGTATGATGAAACATATACAATGAGATGTGTGAAAGTAAATTTGAAGGAATTTGAATTAAAGACCACAGACTAAAAACCCGACATCCATATCTTAGGCACACTGTCAATTTTTGAGGAATTTAATGGACGTCAAGTGCGCCTTATGGTCCGAAAAACATGGAACGGTTCACTTTATGAAGTATGTTTTTATACCATGGAATGAGTACTTGAAATGCTTCTAAAATCCCCCATAAATAAATTCACACACACACAAAAAAAAAAAAAAGACCTAACTGCTGAAGTATAGGACTGCCCACACTGCTCTTCTCACCAATGATCTTGAATTTGCTGGTTAGATCGGTGGTTAGCTAGTCAAGTTTTAGTACGAGCACCATGGAGAAAGGAAAACGGAAAAGGAGGTTCCCAGAGTAGAATATGAAACAACAGGGTCCAGGAGAATGTTGACAAATAAGGGGGTGGTGGATTACAGTAATACATTTCTAACTTGGGTAATGAGCTGAACTTGTTTGTGAAAACTTGGCCTCCAACAGCCTGCTGTACATTTCAAGCTTATGAGTAATGTATGCATTGGCAATAGTTAAAAAAATAAATAAATAAAAAATAATAAAAAAAAACATCAACAGTGTTTACCAATGTAATAGTCTTACCGGCAGCCGGTTGTCAGAGTTGTCAAATATAATCTCCACAAATGCAGAAATGACTCGAGGACCAGTTCCTTCCTACAGAAACAGCAGAGGAACATTTATGTTTGCATGATTACTAAAATTTGTCTTAATTGCTGCTTATGCTACCTGTGTAGATACTTACATGGAGCAAGGCCAAGCGCTGCTCAGGTCGGAGGTGGCTGAACTCATCACTGAGCACAAATTGAATGGCTGGGGAGGAAGAAATAAACAATTAACCTGAGTTCTAACTAGATCGTGGAATGAAGATGTTATTCTAAGGGGCCCACATACCATAGAAAAAGTTACTTTTTCCTGATCCATTTCGCCCAACTGTAAAAGAGAGGGGAAACATAAAAATAAATCGGTATGTGCCACAGCAACATCAGTGTGTCATGAGGGGTCAAACTATCCACGTTCACTTAATTGGTTTGAAAATTATTTTCTATGAATAATGTATCTTTGTTCATCTGTAAAGTTCTTTGTTACAGCTGCAGCTGTTGTGAAAATGCTACATAAAGATGTACTGTATTGTATCAAGCTATGCCAATGATTTTTTTGTGCCAGGCACAATAATTATGTATCAGTATATAATGTTCAACCAGCAGGTCCAAATTTCACCCTAAATATTACATTTGTGACAATTTGAAACTACACGGAATTATTTCAATTGTAAAATGTCTGTCTTCATTTGCTGGGAAATGCTGTTTGTTCTACTTAACTCATGTGGGTGTTGTCACTCAAATAACAACTTAGGTGTCTGTCCATATAGTAAATGCAGTGTAATGAAGGAGAATGAGGGTCAGTGGTCCAGTACCCACCGATGACATTGTGCTTGGGACTAAACGGGTCTACCACAGTCTGGTCCCGGTAACTTCGGAACCCCTGGATGATAACCTGCACAAGACCCAAGGGGCATCAATACATCTTTTTGAGAAGGCAACAGATTGAAAAATGCATTGTGTTTATTACACTGTAAATGCGCCGGTAACAAATATCGTAGGCACGTAGAAAATCGTAATCGAGAGAGTAGGCTTAAGGTTTGAAAATTCAGCTACCTTTAGCCTAGCATCCTCAAGAGGGGGGCGGGCAATTCGAGTTCTGGTTTACCTCAGCATTGCAGGTATTAATTTTGAAGTTGAATGTAACCTGTCTTAACTTTGTGAACGAAAAGAAACAAAATATTTACAGTAAAGCTGCGTATTCAGATCAGGGTTCATTCAGCTAAGTGTCAATTCTAGCCCAGTCGGCCCTGTATAGTAAAACGGAGACACTCGGGTCGTTGGCGTACCTGTTTGATATACATCCTCGTCTATTTCGGCGTCTCCTTGTCTGAATCAGGAGGTAGCCGATCAGCTCCACGTAAATGGAGATGAAAAGTAAAAGTCTTATTATGGTTTCAGCATTTAAAACTGGTGAACTACTTCGTAGTGGAGGAAAACATGGAAAATGGCGGCGGGGGCGGGATGAATGGAACGTACCAAAGTCAAAACAGGGTAATAACAATAAATATCCTCATGGTAACTGAGAACAACAATCCGTTTTGCATCAAATCTGGAACAACATCTGAGTTTATCTTTTATAGGTAACATATGTACTGTGTTGTAGTTGCGTCCGTGCAAATAACTAATAATCATGAAAGTTTGGTGGTTTACACGCATCCCCATTTCGTAAATTTGGTACAGCGCAGCTGGTTGTCTTGTGGGCGCGAAAGGGGTGAGCGAGAAATAGATAGCTACTGTACCACGTCAAGTGGCGTAAAAAGCATGATGAAAATTACCCGACTGTCGTTTAAAAACGTAATCTCTCTCTCTCCCTCCACACACACACACACACACACACACACACACACACACACACACACACACACACGCACACACACACACACACACACACACACACACACACATACAATATTCAGTATCGCGAAAGAGTTGACCATGTATGCGGTTTTCTGAAACACGTTTAGCCACGTAATATCTTGACCGGATATTGGACAACGGACATGCCTTCACCTGTTTATTTATCAGTCGTAGGAAGTAGTGAAGTACAAATACTGTACCTTGTTACTCTGCAAGTTTTTGGTCCAGAGAATGTGATCAAAATTCTTATTGTGTACAAATAGCAGTAAAATTATTACTCGTTTTGTATTGAAGTACATTTCAGTCATCTGTTTTTCTCCAAAAGTATAAGTTTGAGTACTTTTACCACCTGTTTATTTATTCAATGATTGTAAAATGACAACTTTATTTATCACCTTTTATTTAACACATTGACATCAACATTATGGAAAAAAAATCACAAAGAATGCAATTTTCAATAAATTAGATTCAAATGCCTGACTGTATTTGTGAATGAACATAAAAATCACAACATCAACCTAAGGCATGTATATTGCAGGTTTATCACTGTGCTGTTGCCACTCCAGCGGCATCAGTGTCATCCTATGAAATGTTTACTACTATCAATTTAAACTTGCTGGTCTCCAGTCTGGTCTGCTGGTTTCAACACCAGGCACACAGGGAGCTTTTACATTTGATACATTTTCAAGTAAGACGACAAGCGGTCACAGTTCTTTTTTTTTAAGGCAGTGCAGTTATTGGGCTCAGCTTGAACTGATGATGGACCGGAGACTTTAGGCAAGAGGTAGGAAGGGTGAATACAGATGGCTCAAAGTTTTTGGTGTTGAAGGAGGTGGTGATGTCATTGGCAAAAAAGGAAGCAGACTCTGGGATACAGGGGGTGGTGGGTTCAGGTGCGGCTGTATGAGTGGGCGCTGTTGAAAGGACCTCAGACTCAAATTGTAGCAGCTGACCCATGAAACTAAAGTTGGGTGAGATAACAGCCCGGCGCTGCTTGATGATATCGAATGCTGCATCCAGTCTCAGCTGCTGGGTTCTCATGATGTAGGCCATGCAGATGGTGGGGGAACGAGAGATGCCCGCTTCACAGTGGACGAGGACCTTTCCTCCAGATTGCTTTACGTGATCTGGACACAGGACAAAAGGCCGGGTCAATCATTGGACACGGATGTGCGATTTTCTTCAAACAGGTTACATAATATTAAAAATCAAACTTAACCTTGCAATCGCAATGAGTCATTCAAACGGACAGTTATGAATACTGTAACAGCATAGAAAATTATAAATCACATTTGAAGGATGATTGAAGAAATACCCTACTATTTACTCCTACTCACTAATTATACAGTACTGTATACCACAGCTACATATGTATTATCCGCAGAGAACCTTCGCAGGGGCCACGTTTTGTATATTTTCATTTTCTTTCATCTGTGTCATTTGAACACACTTGTGGATGTTCTGTAACATAACTGCATGGAATTTCAGTCCTCCTAAACCATTGTGGGGGTGGCACAGCGAGCATGCACTTTGACTATATAGTACATAGTTTATGCTCATTCGCAGAAGGGGTTCTCTTTTTAGGCACATACATGTCATATACAGTATCGTCATTTAAAGGTCCGATGTTTTCCGCTCTTTTTTGCATAACCTAGGTCAAATTGAGATCCATGCGGTTTGCCGTTTGCATGCAATAGGCTTTGAAAGGCAGGGCCTGCAAAAAAGAGCAGCATCTGCCGCGGCCGCCTCAGAGTGCACCATGGCCAGCCACAATCCTGCCAACGACTCGCCGATGAGCCACAAAACACCCTCATATCAGCAACTAACCACTCAGAGGAAAGATGTTTTTAATACCACATTCAGGAGAACACTGGCCATACCGCAGCAAAGGTTATTTATATATTGAATATTAGTTCAGATTAATAAGAAAATGGCCCATTCAAAATCAGAACAAGAAAGGGGGTCCTGCTCATTTCCAAACCATATTATCTCACAAACCTAATAGGACATGAAAGATTATTAAAAAAAAAAAAAAAAAAGAGTAAATTAAATAAATACATTGCAGCAACGAACCTTTAATAGAATTCCTTAACTTGAAGGTCATTTCAATCAGCTCCAGTTGGCCACTTGCCTTGATGTTTTAATGACTATGCTGTTTGTGTCGTGATGGACTTCTCCAGCTATTTTGAGTCAGAAGGTCAATGTTTATTTTTAGCCCCTAAACTACAGGTGGGAAGCTTACAGCTGCAAGAACATTTTAGCCAGCCTGCCATAACACATTTTACCGAGAGATACTCATGAAATATAATAATAAACAATTATTGTTCCACAAATTCAGTAATCCCGGAACTACCCCTAAATAGGAAAAATGTTACCCACCCTCGCCGTAAACTGTTAATCATCTTCACTTAATTGAAAAAATTCAGGATCTTAGAAGATGAATTTTAGAGCTCCCGCGGGCTAAATGTAGGTTAAACCTACTCCTGGTACAATTAGCTGTCTTATGTAATGAGGACTAAATGTAGGCTGCATCATCAAACAATACACAATAGCAGTCGACCAATACTGGTCAGTCCAGTAGCTCCTGGCTGAGCTTTGTTCTTGCTTATGCCTGTCTATAAATAACCACCAACACATTGTGTGCGCCGTTTGCTGCTGCTGTTATGATCCGCCATCGCTCTCCCACACGCTCTCTTTTCCACAGGCTGCCGCCCTCAGGCCCACCTATGAGCAACCAACAGTGGTCAGGGTGTCACCCCTCATTCAGCCTCCCCTTCCTGCTCAGCCACTTGTCACACTGACTGCATGACCACACCCACTGGAGATTAGACCTAGCAGGTGATGACAACATGCGAACGGCTTTTTCAAGCTCAGAACCAGGAGGGCGTCAACCCCTGAGAAAATCCTGAATGGAAGTGACTGGTTGGATGCGTTGGCGGAGGCTTGAGGGCAGGCGATCAAGCTAAACTGATTACCACTGAGGTTATAGTCCTCTATTTGTGAATGGTAGCACACAAGTACAGCGAGGGTTTACTTGAGGTTTGGCGAAGACGCCATTTAAAAATAAACACCTATGCAGAGGAGTGTCGCCTAATTCAGACAGAATATTTCTAAGACCGTGCGTGTAATCTACAACTATAAATATACAGCCGCTGAAGGTGGTGTTATTCTGGGTAAAGATCTATCCTTGGGATGGTTGCGTATATCTCCCTTGCCACATAGTCTGGCTGAGCACACTATTTTGAGCAGGGAGTCAAGACGAAAAATAAACATGTGGAATTATGATTCAGAAATAAACCTTCAGGTGGAAGCCCCATAAAACTGGTTCGGATGCCCAGTTTGATAGGTTTAACTCACCGATAAATTCTATTGCCTCTTGGAAGTGGGAGCTGATGTCGGCCATGTGGTTGTCTTCCACCGGGATCCATTTGTAATTGTAGTGGCCCTTGGTGGGCTGCATGTCTCTGCGTGACACATTGAGCAAGGCAGTGATGTGAAGATCAGTGAGATAGTCCTGCCTGGAGGCGTGGTAGGCACTACCGAGGTATAGGAAAGGCAGGATCTCCACAGGTTTACCCTGAAAGTGAGAAATGGGTGGAGGGAGAAACCAGATGTGAGTCAAGATAAGTGGGGCCAATATACAACAAGGTGTGATGTTGGCCCCTATGGGATAGCCACATACATCTAATAAAAACTTGTCAACCTGGAGCATATCATTTTGCTGATCTGTTATTTAAACGATTGTAATGCTGCTATGTGAATTGCACTCTCAAAGGTATCCACGTGACTGCTCTCGCTGAGTCGAAACATCAAAGAAGGAAATTAGTGAAAAAGACGTGTACATGGGAAACACAGAGTACATATTGCCAGTGTAGGGAGGGTATCAGAGTACCCCGATTGAAAGATTAACGGTGGTCCGGTAAAGTTTGTTTCACTACAATACAGGGAATCCTGATGAGATTTTCCAGCATGGGGTTTCGGGTGAGGATGGCAGAAGCTGTGACATCATAGCAGCAAGACAACATATGCATGAATTTAAAGCAGTGTGCCATTTGGAAAAAAAAACAGACTTCAGAAATTGCCACAAGGCAATGCCATGATGTCACAACTCTGTTTTAGTAGCTGCATTTTCTCATAGCGACGCGGCATACCACAATTCAGACAGATGCTTGATGGTATCAGCGCCATACAATACTTTGGAAAAACGTAACAAATCAACCAGGCCTTTGATTTTTTTTTTCTTCTGAAAAATTGCAGTAAATTGAAAAGCCACATGAAAAAAACATTTGTCACCGGAGGGAGCAGTACATTGTTGTTTTTTCATCTAGTGAGTTGGAAATAGCGAAGCAGTGGTACGGCTACTTAAAAAAATATTCAACAACTATTGCTATTAAAAAAAATATATATTTTTTTTCATCTATTAATTTTCTGTGGTGCTTGCTCTCATTATATTGCGGGTGAGCTGTGCCTGTAACTGACTTCGGGAAATTGGCGGGTTACAGCGGATTGGTTGCCAGCAAATGACAATCCACTTTTAAAGTCATGATTTTGTTTTTTAATAATAATCAGATGAAGTGCTTTGTGTTTTGGTATCACACAATACATCGATATTTGAGATGTTGGTACACTGAGGAAAGGTCATGGATGAAAGGGTGTTTTTCTCCCATCTGGCCTGCTCCCTTTCTGGGCCCCATAAGGTCACGCAGTATCACAGCATTGTGTGTTTGCGTACAGATATGTACACTATGCCAAATATAAACCACACTCGAGTGTTATGCCGTTGGATGCCATGATAGAAAAAAGATGGATGTGCGTGTGTGTGTGTGTGCGCGTGGGTGCGTGCGTGTGTGTGTGTGTGTGTGTGTGTGTGTGTGTGTGTGTGTGTGTGTGTGTGTGTGTGTGTGTGTGTGTTTTGGAAGATGACGTGCTGCCCTTACCTGCTCATAATCTGGTTTGTGGTGACCAAACTTCTCACTACTGGCTCTTTTCTCGCTTTCAGTTCCGCTCTGCTCGATGCTTTTCACTTCAGTGCAAAGTTCAGGGTATTGCGAGTGGAAGTTTTCATATCCTCCTATGAGAATGGGTCGTAGAGAAGGGCGCATGAAGACCTGTTTACATTTACAATAATCAACACACGAATACACACCTTGTGAAAACCGCAGAGTTTATGAAACAGCCTTAGCGCCGGATTATAAACTGATTATAAAAGGCCCATTAATTACTGGAGTCCGCTAATCCTTTTCACTTCCACAGGATGTAAAGGCGACAGACGGAAATGGAGGTGTTTTCACACATAATCACAAACCGGGCCAATCATTTAGATTAAATAGTACATTTTTTATGCCCTTTATTTGTTTCTTGCTACAGAGAGTCGGTTTCAATTTGTTCCTATTTGTCAGCACTGACTCATCGGCTCCGCTGACGCACATTTATGTAGTCTTCTTACAACGCAAACATAGCATACAGAGTTTAAGGTGGCAGACAGGACAGATCTCCTAGTTGTTTTAAAAGGCCATAAATGAATAGAAACAGCGTAATTGCTTTAGTAGGTCACAAATGAGATAAAAGAGACTGCGTAGCTACGTTTCAACACGTCATACAACTACAATTGTTTTTTTTTTTTTTTAATTTTGTTGCACGGTTTTGTTCAGAGGAAAATGAGTAATTTTTCAAGCGAGGGTCATGTGCCGATGACTAATAATGTGTCGACATTGGCATCGACATGTCATCGCCATGCTGCTTGAGTGCTTTCCCATAAAATAGTCGATTTCCAAATCGGTGCCAATGTCATTGTCACGAAAAAGCAAACTATCTTTACTGCCCCCCCCCTTTATTATTTATTTATTCTTAATAAAAAAAAATGTTGTTCGTTACCTTTTAAGAAGTAGATGTTGGCCCCGCTGGCCACATGCGTTAAGGTATTTATTACTATTTGTGCTACACTGTCTTTCTTCAGTTTCTGCCAGTGGGACGTCCGGTCATCCAGAACCACCACTGCCGATATGCTCCCCTCCCGGAGCCGAAGGACGGCTCTCTCGTCCGGGATGACAAACTGCAGAGGTACCGGTCCTCCCCGCGACCTCCGGACCACCACGGAGTTGAGATTGACGTTGACGGAGCCTTTGATGCTGGAGTTTGTAAATGACAAATATGGTCGACAGTCCACGATAAGGCAGCTCCTGCACTCCTTCCTGATGATCCTCCGCAAGTGGCGGCAGTCGATGCTGGACATTTTCATCTTTTTTTTTAAATTATTGCCGAAAGAATGCGTGTGGATTCCTGAATGACAGTGGCTGCGGGCGACCGATGAGCCCAGCGCGCCTCAGTGCCTACATTGCCTCCAAGGGGATTCCGTTCAAGTCTTTTTCTACTGAATGGGACTTCGGCGTGTATGACGTCACGAGCCATATATGGACAGCAATGAGGCGTGGTCGCAACCAAAGACCCACCCGCGTGGATGACGGCTGCTGCGAGAGTCCCGCCCTCTACGTGACGTGAACACAGCCATTGATTAACTCTTACTCATCTCACATCCTTTTCTCACCAGCTTCCAGTATCACTTTCGAGAAGCATTGCTGTGATATTAACTCATCAAAACAATGTTGGAAGAACTACTAATAAGGAAAGGACAAAACCGTTCACCATTTGAATGTCAATCATATGCAAAGACTTTAGGAACACGTGGAATTTGCTTCCTGATGTTGGTGTCAACCCAGCCCAAGATGTAATTTACAAAAAAAACACATGTGGGCATGATATTTAGGCTGCACAATATAAAACACTGTGCAAAATAAAGTCTGTTTAAAATTGATGAAGATGTTTCGAAGCCTTAAACTGAATTCAATTTTTAATGCTGAAGCATGATCATCGCTGTGGCCGTAGAACTGTACTGCATCACAGCGAGGGCCGTGTGTGACATTTTGGTTACCTCAAAGAGGAACAGCTCTCAGTATGATGCAGTTCAGTTCTACACCACTGCAAACATCAGTCACAATAATGAACATGCTGGCAAAATAATACCACTAAAATTGACCAGAATATGCTTGTAAATGCAGAATATTTGCTACAGCTCTGGTGCTGGATATCATAATTTGTGGCTTGTGTTTATACTCATATGTCCAGGTCTCAACTCATAAGCCCCTTTTTCTACTGCCTGTGTCGTTATTCTGAGTAAAAACAGCACTGACACAGAATGGGGGAGACAAAGTCGTCTTGTTCGTATTCAGCTTCAAGAGGCAGGATCAGAGCTGCCACTGACATAATCACGCATCTAATTATCTGATTGCGGGATATCATATTATTGTGTGCGGCAATATACTAATTAATTAAATGAGAAAAATGGCCTCTAAAAGATGAGTATTATTGGATACAAATTACATCCACTGGCCAATTTTATTGACTATTCACACAGTTCAGTTATTTAACAGAACAAACGCAATTATAACTGAGGCTTCATTAGTTTGAGAAATGTTTAGTTTTCAGCCAAGGCTATTGTTTTGTTCTTTTTTCTAATCGGCCATGCTGTGCTATTAGGAGACTTCACAGAGCACTCAGCGGCTGGACAAGTCGCTGACAGAGGCAAACACTAACTTCCGCTCAGGCCCCTGTATAGCCGAATGAACCTGCCTTATATTCTTTGGCATGTAAGCCTAAGCTCTCAAGTGAATTAACAGGTTTAAATGTCACACTGCGTGCACTCACATGACATGCAATCAATCCCTGGGCTCAGGGCTTGCCTGTGTTTTGGGGTCATGTATGGATGCTGTGTGTTTGGCTTGAAACACTGTAAGGCACGGGTGTCAAACTTAAGGCTTGGGCCCCAGATCTTGCCCGCCACATTGTCTTATTTGGCCCGTGAAAGCAAATTATGTGTTTCAGCTTCCATGATCCATAATGAAATCTGCGGCAAAATTTCACATCATCCAATGGAATAAATAACAGCATTGAGAATTTGCATGAAATTTTTTTGCTACCCTTTTTACAGTAACTTGAACAAACTTGTAAATTATAAAAAAAAAAAAAATAATGAATAGGAAATGTTATATAACGAATGTGCTGGGAAATACATCCATCCATTTTCTGATTCGCTTTATCCTCACAAGGGTCGCGGGGCGTGCTGGAGCCTATCCCAGCTGTCTTTGGGCAGGAGGTGGGGGACATCCTGGATCGGTTGCCAGCCAATCGCAGGGCACACATAGACAAACAACCATTCATGCTCACAATCACACCCAGGGACAATTTAGAGTGTTCCATTAACCTGCCATGCATGTTTTTGGAACGTGGGAGGGAACTGGAATATCCGGAAAAAAACCCACGCAAGCCCGGGGAGAACATTCAAACTCCACACAGGAGGGCCGGAGCCGGGATCGTACCCACGACCTCTGCACTGCCAGGTCAACGCGCTCACCACTTGTCCACCGGGCCGCCCTGCTGGGAAATACAAATTAAATAAATAACTTTGGATTGGCATGTAGTGCGGGTGTAAGTACTGGTCATAAAAGGAAGCAACAGGACCATTGGACAAGTTTCCATAGAAGTGCCGGATGTTGTGTTGTATCTGCCAGGTCATGTAACACATGTCTAGCTGCAGTGACATTGTGACGGACACCAGGCGAAAATCCTGTTTATCATGGCATCACGAAGCAGTAAGTGGGCTCTGCTTGAGGGAACCGAATGAATGAGTGAGTGAGTGAATGTGGGCTGGTGCTGTGCATGTTTGGTGTGGGAATGGATGGAGGGGAACATGTCTGGAAGGCTGAGGCTAAGCGGGCCAGCAGGCAGCATGCCATATGGTCCAGTCTAATCTGGGCTTGTGACATCACGGATGATGAGTGCACCGAGGCCCACCGTCCGTTTCCGAGCCCTCATTTCATTATGGGGTTTGCCGATGTCAACTGTAAATAACAACAGTGGACCTGGGTGAGCCAGACAAACACACCATGTCTTCTGCTTGCCTTTGTGAAAGCCTTCTCCATTTATCTCCTTCTCCGTTGGTTTCCAGAAGAGCAGTGTGAGCTCCTATACATGAACAGCACTTTATTCAGCCATGTTATTTTGCTTCTCAAATGATTTCATCCATATTTCATGACTTTCCGGTAGTTGCACAGTGATGTGATGACTAATGAGACTGGAATGGAATGCATATTTGCTATACCCATAAAAACAGAGAGCTACTGGGATTTCCAGGATTTTCTCAAATTTGTCATTGGGCCTTAAGTGGCCACCATATTGACAATACACAATGGTGCCTTGATATATGAGTATCGTAATGTGTTTCTTTACCATGCAAAACACCTGTATCCCATATCATTTTTCCCTATTAAAATGAATGGAAATTGCATTACTTCGTTCCAGCCACCTCTCAACAATATAATGAAATGTTTGTAATGTGTTTTAAGAACAACAACAACAAAAAAACAATCCACGATGTTGTTCTTTATAAAACACAGTAATCACAGAAATAGAATGTAACAAATTACATGTTTTTCCATTGTACCTTAATGCTTTGGTTCAGTTCACACCGGGGGTTAGTGTAATACACTCTCAATAATATTCATTGTTTTGTTTTCACAGAAGCTGAAGAATATAAGAACCCAAGTATTGTGATATTGTCTGGCATTTGTTGCTCCACTGTTTGTGTTCAAATACATGGTGTGGGGGCGTGCAGACATCAAAGGGATCTTGGGCCCTTGCCCTTTTTCTTCCTGAAGAAAAAGGGCCCTTTTTCTGACACAAATTAATTAATTAATTTTCCCAAATAGATTTCTCGCGTTCTTAGGTACATATACATCCTCGCTTTGGCACAGCTTACCTGTTCAATAAATACAAACAACCTTCTTCTTCTTCTCCTTTCGGCACGTCCCTATTCAGGGGTCGCCATAGCGAGTCAGTAATTTCCATCCGCCCCTGTAAACCGTCCTACCAACTCGCATGGTCGTCTTGGCAAAAGTTTTACGCCGGATGCCATTCCTGACGCAACCCTCCCCATTTCTCCGGGCTTGGGACCGGCACTGGGGAACAGTGCAACCCCAGGTGAGGGCACTGCCCCCCAGCGGCTGGGTTAATAAATACAAACAACCAAACAATAAATAAGAAATCGCCAAATACCTCATCGGGAGTTGATGCTCAGTGCTCTCTCTAAAAGATGTCCCTGCTCCCCTCTGCTGCCGCACGGCTGCGAGCACAAAGGAGTGGTGATGATGGGAGTTCTCGAGTTACCAAATGGCGAGCTCAATCCTAGTTAATGTGTGTCTTGCTAACCTGTACATAGGAGCTCCTGTCGTGGATGTGTTCGGTTTAGCTAAGGGTATTCATCATGGGCATACAAGTGTACTGGGACACTACAGGTGAATACAGTTAGTTGTAGCTCATGTCATGTCTAATACACCACACTGATACATTAATTGTGCGCTAATTAATTAAAAGGCTCAATATATGCATATATTTGCAATTGCCAAGGCATTCCAGGACTATTCTAATAATTCAGACTGTTAAAACTGTTACAGTTGGTTTGGTCTGCAGTCTTGATCATTAGAATATTCAAGAAGTTGCAGTTTCCTGTCTTTTTCATTTTTGAGGGGAAGCTTAGTTTAAATTTAAAGTTTCGTTTATTTCAAAAATGAAAGAATATATTGCACTGGGCAAAAATAAACACATTTTGTATTTAAAAATCCTTACTTCACCACGTACCGCTCCTTGGTGCAGGCAGTTATTTGAAATATTTCCTATATGCTTGCAGCATACAACACACGCACGCACGCACGCACGCACGCACGCACACACACACACACACACACACACACACACACACACACACACACACACACACACACGGTATCACAGCTTCTTTTGCTCTTGCGTACTCTTATAAATCCAGTGAATACTGTAGCATGAAGAAATATGGAAAAAAATGTTGTGTGGCCAGATTACTTCTGAGGATTTAACAATTATGTGAGTGTAAGGGTACTAAAATAAATAGGTAAGACATGTCCTATTATTTATTTATGAATAAATTAGAAGTGACCTTTGTCTCATGTGAGCCCGCATGTCCCCCAAAAATGTCCGACCTATCTATCCATACGTCATTCCGTCCGTCCATCCATCTAATTTATCTATCTAACTTATCTATTGAATGTTGGTCCTGCAAGGACCTCTGATGAAAAGAGTCAAACAACAAGTTTGGACAGGGATAATTTCGACAGCGTTGGGAATGCGAATGCATGTGGCAACACTGACAAAGACCTTGGGAGCTAGAGACACAACCCAGCCAAAGTTAAAGTGTGCTACATTAAGTCTTGCTATTTCTTTTCTTCTCAAATGCACTGTACAATTCCGTATACTCATTGAAGTAGGGGTGTTTTTGC